GTTTTGTTTTCGAAACATCTTTGTCGTTTTTTTCGTCATATATAATTTAAAAACAATTGAAAGTTAAATAATTAATAGAAACAAATGTGAAGAAACAATTAAATATTAAAAAGAAATTAAAGAAATAATTATAAATATATATATATATCATGTTATTTCATAGTTAATAATGTATTGTTAATGTAATATCAAAATATAGAGTCAAAATTAAAATAAAGCAATTTTTAATATTAATATATCAAAAGAAATTAAATAGTGTACATAAATTTTTTTAAATATAATTAAATGTATTAATATATTAATATATTAATTGCATTGAAGATTTTTGGAAGAAGCTTTTTTCTGCGTAAAAGTTGATTATTTTACTTTAAAAAGTGATTTCTAATGTAAACGAATTTTTTATATCTACAGTGAAATTTTTCCTCTCGATAACATTTCACTGTCGCACACATGACCACGCAGTTACATCTGCGCCGAAAAAAATTAACTGATTTTTTTTCGCCGAGCATGTAATTGTTCAATTAGACGTTTGCTGGGCCGACGTTGAAATAAGTAGAAACAGGAATGAAAGAAAAATTTTGCAACAGGAACGATCAACTCTGCAGTATACATTTTCTATAACTATATAATTTTTATATTTTAAAAATATACGATATTTCTTATATTTATTATCACTTTATAAATATTTTTTTACTTTTTTATACGTGATTGTTTTGCAAAAATAAGAGATTCTATTTGTATAATGCATTATGGTACGTATTGTGTGTACATGAAATTACAGTTCATTAACTTCTTCCTCTTAAAAACTGTTCCTTTGGCAAAAGTTTTTCTATATAATCTGATACATCTTTCTCTCTCTCTCTTTTGTTTTACTTTATTGTGTACTTTATAACTTTTGCAAAACTCTCTGTTGTTTTACACTTTCAGCAGCAACATTGTATAAAAATAAGATGTAAATAAAAAAATTAGGTTTTTTATTTACATATTTATAAAGCTACATCATTAAATTTTAATCTTCCTGTTTCTATAAACATATAAAATTCTCTTTCATATTTATATGTATGTGTGTGTGGACATACATATATATTGTTACGCCGCGGGGACAGCTGGTATTCCTCCCGTCGCTTGGCGACCGGGTTGTTGATCGCTGTCCTTTGGAATCCGGCTTGTCAAGGCACGGCGGCTCGCTCGGAATTGTATTCTAACTACAATTACGTGTTAATAAAGTTCTCTAAAACAAGCCGTGCCTTTTTGTTTCTGCGATCGCGCACAAGTCGATATAAAGAGAAAAAGTGCCGCTCTGCTTCCGCGAGCGCAACAATATATATATATATATATACATATATATACAATAAAAAGGAGCAATGTGTGAGTGTGTGTATATATATAATATGTACACACATACACGCTTTCTACTGCCCACTTCTGTCATATTTATGTACAAAATATACACGTATATACAATATGTGGATGTGTATATTATTAATTATACATTTATTTTAATAACTCTCGAAAGAATCTGTCAAAAATTTCTGTAATGTTCAAGATCATGAAAAGTTGTAGTTATCAGAAAACAGCAGTACATTTGATGCAAAAATCTATTCTAAGACTCACTTCCCTTTCAAATGTTTATTTAATTCAGAAATATGTTAATTTTAGTTGTATATGTGTGTCATTCTGCCAGCATATTGCTATAGTTTTGTTTGCTGATAGCAAACAAAATTTGTACGTCACAAGTAAATGACGGATGCTAGGTGCTGAATATTTTTTGAAAAACTTAGTAATTTTTTTTGAAAATATCGTTTTTGCACAATATCAATATATAACAATAATTTCTATTTATATTCGTTATTTGAATCTTTTTTTGAGCTTTTATGAATTCGAGAAAGAAACTTGAGTCGTGAAAGATTTCTATTGTCATAATTATTGTAATTATTTCATTATCAGATCTCAACACTATGATTATATATTCAAGTAAAATTTGAAACAAGTAAAATTTGAAACAATTCATTCAATTTTTAAGAATCAGAGTAAATCGCGTAAAAGTCGAGCAATTCAACTTTCAATTTATTTTTTTCTGAATAGATTAAAAGTATTTACGAATTTTGAGATTCATTTAATAAACTTTATACACATCTCAAGACTAGTTTTACGAAGTATCCCGGAACAACAACGTGTGATTATAAAAATATGAGTTATAATAAGTTGAAATAAAATTATGATCAAAATTAAGTGACTAGGAGAAACTCAAAAAAAAAAAAAAAAAAAAAACCTATTACCAACAAGGGACGAAACACCCTTGCAATCCGTCTTGTCACTGTATTATATAAGTAGCTTCTATATAAAAATATATTATCTTAGAAAAGACTACTTACATCTCTATGTACATAATTTAGTCACAAGTAGAATATTTTTGTAATATGAAAAGCAAAATGCATCTGTTGTTTTCTTTTTCGTTTTTAAATATTGATTAAAAATTCTCGGATATATAGAAACATTTTGTATCGCCTATCTAATAGTTTGCTAACTCGGCGATGATTTGGCACGATACAAGAAATTTACGGACACGCGCGGAAACGTTTCGTAAAATGATTGAAAGATAAAAGCTTTCTGCACACAATACGTTAGATTGAGGTATATGTCGTTGAGTTTCTTTTCTGGTTGTGACCCTATATCGGTAAATTTGCAGTTATACGGGGACCACTCTCCGATGTCAACAATTTTGACATATGTTGTCACCTTCCTGAGTAATAATATGAAAATTTTAGCCGTCGCTCGTTGTTTGGTAAAAAGTTATAAATAAAAGAAGTTTTATAAATGAACTCTTATTTTCTGATACCATGATACATTTTGTTTGTGTTATTAGCGTGTAGGCAGGGAAGGCGTCGCCCCCCCACAGGGCGACAAAATAAATGTTATCGAGAGGAAAAATTTCACTGTAGATATAAAAAATTCGTTTACATTAGAAATCACTTTTTAAAGTAAAATAATCAACTTTTACGCAGAAAAAAGCTTCTTCAAAAAATCTTCAATGCAAATAATATATTAATATATTAATGCATTTAATTATATTTAAAAAAACTTATATACACTACTTAATTTCTTTTGATATATTAATACTCTAAAAATTGCTTTATTTTAATTTTGACTCTATATTTTGATATTACATTAACAATACAATTATTAACTATGAAATAACATGATATTTATAATTATTTCTTTAATTTCTTTTTAATATTTAATTGTTTCTTCACATTTGTTTCTATTAATTGTTTCACTTTCAATTGTTTTTAAATTATATATGACGAAAAAAAATGACGAAGATGTTTCGAAAACAAAACTTCTCGGTAATATTTTCTATATACTTTTCAAGTTTTGTAAAATAGTTTACAAACACAACCGGAGACTATTATCAAATTGCTATAACGCTAAAGTTATTTCGTACTTAAAATTATGTAAAGAGTCTTGTCTGAAACAATCGCATTGAATGACATAATCACAGTAAAGAAAAAAACAAAGTTAATATATGTAAAAGACTGTGAAGTCTTTTAAACTCGTAGTTACAGTTGAGCATCGTTCTAATGTAAATAAAGCAAAAAATAGAAATTGACGAAGTATAAGAATTGATTAAAGTGTAACAACGTATATTTTACGTGTATTGATTGTAAGTGCTATAGCTGTGCGATAGCCGTGTAAATACTATGAGAAAAATAAAAATGATAACTTTGTATACTGTTGCCAAAGAATTTTAGAAAAGTTTTTGTATACAATATTCGATATTCTTTTTTGACGACTTCGCTTTAACAATGCACAACTGTGTAAACAAAGTTTTGCAAACGAAATTGCTTTTGACATTGCAGACAACACTCTACATCTTTTCATCGAACGCAAAGCCACCCCCCCTGCGAGGGAGCGAAGCCCCCCTTGCCTACAACACGCTTACAACACGAACAAGAAGAACATAAACAATAAACAAAGTAGTCTTGTTAAGAGGCTTAACGCCGTTATGTATACGAGGAACGTATAGACAAATTTCTTACAATAATATCGGTAATATATCCATTAAATGATATTGAAACTAAATGATATTGTTTATAACTTTTTAACTAACAATGTGACCGACGTCTAAAACTTTCATATTATTATTCAGGAAGATAATCTTGACAATATATGTCAAAATTGTTGAGATCGGAAAGTGGTCCGTATAACTATATATGTATCTTTATATCATCTATGAATTTGTTCTTTTTTGCCTGAATATAAGTCTAAATATATTACATATATATTACATGCGTATACGCGCGCGCAATGCGGATACGTATAATAAATATGTGTAATGTTGCGCTTATCTTAATGTGCATCTTTTTAAATATTAAAATGCATAGTAAGATCCTCTTATATCGACAAATGCAAGAAAAAAAAGCAATTCTAAAATAATTTTTTTTGAACGCGATGATTAAACTTTACCTTCATCAAGTGTGCAAACGGATCTGCGTAAAAAAGTATAAAAAAAGCGTATATGTATACAAGATACGTGAATCATTAATTCTGTGGTCGCGCTTATAAAAAGAAACTCTGTGCCTATTTTATGTAATATAATCCCTATGTAATTAATAATTACACTTATTATTATTTATACGTATGTATACTTGCGCGCGTGTCCGTATATTTGTCATATTATTTACAAACTCGTCGTATTTTATAAATCCTATATATCCTACATATAAGAGAATACTGTTATTTAAGTGAACACATTCGTGTAGGTCATAAATATTGTAGCATATGTGTAACAATAGAAAAATTGTGTTGCCGTTTAACTATTGTAATCTCAAGTTTAGCTATTACAAAAGTGGAATAACCTTGTAATCATCTAGATCGCCACGCTTGTTATCATGCTCATATCTCAATTTGGGGACTATTTTCTTCGATCTAGATTACATAATAAACTATTCGAATGGTTTCCAATAAGAAAATTTTCATTTTCATTTTGTTTTTTTTTGTTTTTTTTTTGTTTTTTTGTTTTTATGTGGTGTTTTTTTTCATTGAGATTGATTTCAACAACAGAGTCTTCGTTGTACCGCAATAAACAGAAATTTGAACAGTCATGCAATCTTATGATCAATTAAAACCAAACGATTTCTAGACTGAAAACTATTATGTTATATAAAATGGGTGGTAAATCTTTTCTACTTGAATGTGTGTGTGTTATGTGTTTTGCTATTGTTGTTAGCTATTGCACTTGTTAGGAACATGTAAAAAGGTATTTACGGTTTGCAGTATGAGACCGATCGACAAAACTATTTCAGATATCAATTTTTTGAATGTCGTGAATATCGTATTGATAAGTCAATTTGTTGTTTTGGTTTTTAATCGAGAAATGGAATATGTTCGAGAAAATTGTGAAAAATGCATAAATAGACCGTTTAACTTGACTATTGACAAAAAACATAGAAAAAATACGGTTGGAAAAATTGCTATAGTAAATAAACAGTTTTCATCATACCTCATTGACACTTATTCTTTACGTTGATAAAGAATTATTCCTTAGTAAAGAATTATTTGTATTCTGATAAGCGTTTTTTACAATATTGCAAATGTTGTTCCGATTGGTCTCTCTGTTCTTCGTACAGTTGTTTTGCTGATAGAAGTCGACTTTTTTCTTCGCGGAGGTCAGTAATGCATTTTATGGATGTTTCAAGAATCTCTCGTTTGGAAGGGTTTTTACCAGATTTTGTTTTGTCGTTGAAATATTCCGGCATCGTAGACTTGAGATCATCTAGGAGCTCTTTGAGGCCTTGTCTTCGGCCTCGCTCCATCTCATTGTGCAATTTTTTCTTATGGTCAATATCATATTGAGCGTTTGGTGCAAATATATTGTTTACAGGGGGATAACATGGGGCAGATTGGGTTCTGGCCCCTTTCAAAAACGTTTTATTGTTAAAGTCACCGTGCGTAGACTTTCGTGGTCTACCACGTGATCTCTTTTCCACCTGCGGTGGATTTCTACGTAATGAAACCTCTGCGTAGGACTCGATGTCTACGTCAGTATCTGCAACAGAGAATCGAGACATTTCTTCAGTCACACACTTTTCATCAAATAATATTTAAACAATAATAGAAATTCAAATGAGATAGGTGTGACGCGGGGTCTCTCGCTGAACTTGTCGGAAACGCATCCACTAATAGATTAACACGCGTTAAGATATTGTTAATGTGATTGTCAAGAAATAAGAATTTTAATACGTTAACAGCCAAGCTGGTCCCTACGAACCGCTAGACACTACTAGGTACTAGACTTTCCGTTTACGCTGCACCGGTTTTCGCGAACCGACGGTTAACTTTTGCTCTAATACCTTTAGTTTTCAAGGAACGGTGTCATTCGCGAAAAGTTAAGGCTCAGATCGGCGCAACAGCGTAGATTAAAGCAAGTCAAGTTAAGGACTGGTACAGCATAAACGGGAAGTTTAGACTGGTCCGTGAGGACCGACGCGACGTGGCAGTTAGGTTAACGTGTTTTAAGATCTAAACGCTGGGCGTGCGATATATATTCTCTTGAAACGCGTAAAAATTAATATAATTAACATTAAAAAATTCGAGTTAAATTCAATGTGAAAATTTAGTTTTGTGCTAGAAAGAGCTTTTTATGAATATTCTTAATATAATCAATCAATATCTTCACACGGTTAACGTATCTCGTTATCTCATCGAGAAACTTTTTTTTGAGCAAAAAAATAAAATTTGACTGACAATGCCTCGGAATGTTTGCTGCATCTGAAAATAATACTTTTATAAAATAGAAATAGATAAATAATAAAGTAGAAGATGGAAAATAGAAATAAATAAAATTTAACAACATAACAATAGATGAATAATAAAATAGAAGATAGAATAGTTGAAGATATAAAATAAGTAGATCACACACTATAAGTACAATAAACAACAACGCAACGACTCAGGAACGTTGTTACGACACAAGCGATGGACAATTTGGTTTTTAAATAGAACAAATAAGGTTGTAAACATGCAAACGAACTATTCGTACATACAAAATATAATTAAGGCAAAACGATGTGTATGTGTGTGTGTGTGTGTGTTACGCAATAAATATATTCAAATTTAATGTCCCAAACATTGCGACTTTAATCCATCTCTTCAGTGTATGTATATAAAGTAATATAAAAAAAAAATATAATTAGCAGACTTATTAATTGTATCTTATATTAATTTTCATAATTATATTTTTGATGTGAATTTTCCGTTACGGAGATCGTTTACTCATTTGTATATCCGATCGAAAATCCGAATTTAATGTGTAATTGAGAACAAATTGAAGAGAAAAAATAACCGTATTTTGTCAATATCAAAGTGCGAACTGCAAAGTGCGATTAAATACACAAATACACTCTCGTCAGAATGTGTCACGTCAAACTAACATTAAGTAAACCGTGTCATCGTTCGAAGAAACATTCAATTAGCGTTCGCAGACGCGCGATGATCCTCTTCATACTACTCCAGAATGCATGCCCTTTTTGGCGCTGCTCCACCGTTTGAACGCAAAACCGGGACAAGCGGAAGGAGACGCTCGAGGAACGAGGAAGAAAAGAGAGACCACGTCTGCGTTAGACGGATCGCGTCGAGGACCGTATTGCACGTGCACGAAATCGGCAGCGCGCCTCCACGTGCAACTCGACGACTGCATTCAGACGTATGAATCTTGCCCGAATCTGGCGTGACGCCAAGGCGCCGCGTCGCCCCCGGCGAAAAAGGCGCGAAGTGTCTAAAAATACGAGACACCAACAAAATTAATAGACGAAGATAGTCGACGAATTGGATTCGTCTGTGACACGTGAAACAGTACCGGCGCTAAGAGATTTGATCCAACATTGCGCGATACAACACGCAAGTGCCTACTATACACACTCGGTCAAACATAAATTGCAGTTTCGCATAACACGGGCGCGTTTTAAACTCTATTCTTTTTGTGAAAAAAAAAAAAAAAAATGTTATCACGATCGATACGCGAAATTGTCTTGTGGCTGAGAAAGTGTTCGAGCGAGATTTTGCGCGATGTGTATGGCCCCTTCCGGAACATGTTTCATTAGTCACAGTGGCGTGCTCATATAACACGTGCACGAGGCGGAGAAACGAACGAACAAGGAGCGCGAATCGCGCGAAGCGAGAACGCGGAAGTGGTCGAAATAACGTCGCGCACGCAATTGAGCGAAATAAAATAAGTATATGCTAATAATCGCGCCAACCGCGGCGGAATTTACGGTGTTCGTATCTGATCGTATGTGTGTGTTGTGTCACCGCGCATGATCAATAGACACGCGATTACACAGAGAGAGCGCATTTTCTCCTAAAAAGCCTCGCGCGTTACACGCAACAGCTAATTCATTAACCGGGGGTAATCGTTCCGACTCCTCCCCGCGATAAAACGTCAAGTATTACTAATTGAGCGTTACGAGCGCACATGTAAGACAAATAGCCGAAGACGAGATCGAGCGATTTCAACTTTCGTAACGGAGAGAGAGGAAGAGATTATTGTCTGAAACAATCTTAAATAATCTTAATTGTACAAATCTTTTCCATTACACAAATACCGCGCCCGATAATTCCCTCCACAAGTTGCAGACAACGTAGATAATTCCCGCGTCAATTTATTCGTTTACGCGTTACGTAAAAAGGAAAAAAACGCGGAGAAGCGTCAAGGTGTCTATCGTTTGTCCATCTCTTCGCTCCATCGGAGATCGTCTCTATCTCTTTCTCTCCCTCTCTGCTTCTTCTTCCCTCACCTCCCCGCTGTCTGCTCATCGAGCGTTTTACGAGAGTATCGCCGGAATGCGGAGCGCGAGACTTGAGGCGCAGGAGTGGTTAGCGGCTCGGTTTGTCGCCGGTCGCGTGATGCAAGTCGGTGCAGCGTGCCCGCGATGCAAGCGACTGAAAGGGGACGAGAGCGGGGGAGGCGAGACGCGTACTCAGCGTAGCGTAGAAAGGGGACGGGAAGGGGGAGGTGACTGGCGCGGAGAGGGGCGACGTCAATTCGCGGGCAGCACGTGCAGTCACGTAAGAACGACCTTGGGGGTCACTGCTCCGCTCGGCATAAGCAGGCCATAGTAGTACGTCGACGCGAATCGATCGCCTCTCCTCTCTCTCTCATTGAGATAAAGCGACGCGACGTCGGAGGGAAGAGAGGGAGGGAAGGGGAAGGGTTGCAGACCCCGTGCGGACAGGAGAACGAGAGAAACGTCCTCCGCGCGACGTATCGAGCGCGGCGCCTCCTGTCTAGGGGACGTTTGGGCGTGGATTTCGGGGTGAAAGTACTCCCGCGCGCTTTTGACTCTTCGGCGGCGAATTTTAGACGTGCGATCGTGCGATCCCATCGAAATTACGCTCTTGAAATGTGACTTTAATAAATATTTTACTTTATCCTGTGGTTTTTTTTCAGAAAAGAAAGTTGAAAATTTCGCTATTTGAGAACAAAACGAAACGCAGAGCGCTTTGAATAAATGCAAACGTACTTTTTTTTTTTTTTTTTTAAAAAGAGAAATCTAATTAGGACAATGGCGTACGGAAACTGCCATGTAATATCACACAACGACACTCGCCTATCACGTTTGATTTTCGCGTATTCGGCGCGATTACTACGTAAGCCTGTCGATATACGCGACGACCCGCATCGTCCGCTGATAACGCTGATAAAACGAGAAATATATACGAGATTTGTGTATCTCCGTGACCTACGCAAACTCTTCTCTTCGATCATTGTGTGTGGACGAGAAGCTGATCGGTCGTTTATAAAATTGTTCTCTTGTCGCGCGCGCACGTACAACAAACATCGAGACCGAAACGACCTTCGGAGAGATCTCGTCGCCGATCATCTAATCCATGCGAAATTTTTATTCCGTTTTCCTCACTTTTCCTTTATTCTCTTTACATAAAGTAAAAAAAAAAAACAACTAATGAAAATGTGGAAATAAAATATCGAAAGAACATTACAATCTTTTTCAAATGATCTTCAAATACGGGGAAATGAAAAAAATGATCTCTCCCGAGAGATTTCTCGCGCAAATCCGCGATTATCCCGGAATTCAAGCAACGTCGGAAAGCCGCTTATACACTGCAAAGTAGCTAAGACCGGCAATTCTTTTTCCCGAGTCGCATATACGGCGAACGTGCCGGCACGTTTCTTTTCCCGGTTGCTCCCTACCGCCTTCCCCGTCTATATAAAACGGAATCTCTTCACATGCTCGAGCGTGAGGGCCTTGTGATCAGCGAACTGTTCAATCCAGTTGCGAAAGTGAATGTCGTTAACGAATTTATTCAGTTTTTTTTTTTTTTTTTTTTTCTAAACGAGGAGTACACGCACGCCTCGAAATACGGTGTCGAAATACGAGAAGAGCGTACAGAGAGAGATGGGGAACGAGAGATAAATATATATTTTACACTACAAAGGTTTTGATACTTTTGGAAGATAAACGGTGATTTTTAGAAAATGTCAAAAAGCGTATCTGATCGATATCTGATAAGTCGCACACGGAGAGAGCGATCGCCAATCAACGCGAGCGACACACCGGTTGCGACTTCGCGCGCACTCGCGCGTTATTATCGAGTTGTCATGGGGTTTCTGTGTGAGCGAGAAAAAAAAAAGCAAAACTCGTCGAAAAGTCACGGCCGTCGGCGATCCACTTCACTTACGAAGTCCCGCCGCGCCGCTCCGTATCCGTTCCGTTCGCTCGCACGCGAATATACAGTCGGGTAAGTGGAGAGATATTATAGGACAGGAGAGGGGGATAAATATCTTATGGCGAATATATATATATATATACACACACGAAATACGAGCGGCGGTGGTATCAGGCGAAGAGAAAGAGAGACGAGGGATGTGTATGGTGTGGTATACAGTCTGCGTCCGTTCCCGGCGGCCAGACGCAATCAGAGCACTCCCACGCACCGATAGCCAGTCCCAGATCGACGATTGCATTAGAAACAACTGATTCTTCGCTCGTCTACTCGCGCGAGAAAGTGCGACCGAATGAATCATCCGTG